CATAGTGGCTGTACCAATTTGCAGTCCCACCAGCAGCGTATGAAGGTTTCTTTTCCCCCACATCCTCTCCAACATTTGTTATTATTTGTCAGGTCCATTATAGTTATTCTAACAGGTGTGAGATGATATCTTATTGTGGTTCTGATTTGCATTTCCCTAATAGCTAATGATGTTGAGCATCTTTACATATATTTGTTGGCCATTTGTATGTCCTCTAGGGAAAAGTGTTTGTTCAGGTCCTCTGCCCATTTTTTGATTGGGTCATTTGCTTTTTTGTTGTTATTGAGTTGTATGAGTTCTTTGTATATTTTGGATATTAGGCCCTTATCGGAGGTGTTGCTTGCAAATATATTTTCCCATTTGGATGGATGTCTCTTTACCTTGTTGATGGTTTCTTTTGCTGAGTAGAAGATTTTTAGTTTGATGTAGTCCCATTCATATATTTTAGCTTTTAGTTCCCTAAATTATATATTTTTAGAGTAAATTCATTATGGCATAGAATGGTATCCTCAATTTTGATGAAAACTGCACAAAATTTACAAACAAAATCAAGGGAACAAATTTATTTTGCTCTCTTATACACTAAAATTATACTGGTCTTCTCTTGTATCTTTTAGTTAAAAAATATTCTCATATGAATTGTTTATTAAGTTAATGTTTAGATATTTTATCATTCCTTTTGTTATTATAAATAACATTATCAATTATATTTTTTACTTTGATTTTATTTATATTTTGATTGGTAAGATATTCATATATTGCAAGTTTCAAAAAACACACAAAAGAGTATATATTTCAAATTCTTCCCACTTCTCTTCCTATCTGTTTATCTCTTGTTGAAGAAACCATTGTTAACAGTTTTTTTTGTTTTTGTTTTTAAAGATATTATAATCATGTACAAGAAGATATGAATATATATTATTTGCCTTTTACAGTAATATAAATAGAAGTAAGCAATACACGCTTTTCTTTTGCTAAAGTCTGCTTTTTCCACATAATTTCCAGATAATTATAGAATTTATTCTTTGATGCCACATCAAAACTTGACAAGAAATAATTTTTTTAAATTTTATGCTAACATATCTCTTTCACTCCTTCTTTCTCCTTTTCCTTTTCTCTCTCCTTCTCCCCATCTCTCCCTTCCTTACTTATTCTTGTTCTTCTGTTTAACAACTGAATAATATTTTATTTTCTGGACTTTTCCATAATGAAGTGACTTACACCCTTAGTAATAGACATTTTAAATTTTTTGAAGTTGTGTTCTATTACATATAGCACTGTGGGGAACAACTCTGTACCTACATCAATTTGCCTATGTGTGATTATACTTGTAGGCTACATTTCTAGAATGAAATTCCTAAATTTAGGAAAATGTGCATTTATCATTTTGTTTCATGTCACTAAATTGCCCTTCATAAAAGACTCATTTATACTTCCACCAGGAATGTACAAGCTTGATGATATCTTTGCACTTTGCTAATATTGATAAATTTTAGTATCTTGGGATAGATTTAATTTAATATATGAGTAAGAGTGAGTATCTTTTCATATGTTTAAGATTCATATGTATTTCCTTTGATGTCAACTAGTGAAAAACTTTGCCCATTTCATTTTTCTATTGGGTTATTTTGTTTTACCTATTAATATACAAGTTGTAATTTCTTTGATTAATCAATTCCTTGTTATGATAAGACTTGGAAAATATTAATCAATTTGTCATTTGTATTTTGACTTTATTTTGCTTTTTTATCTTAAAGAAATTTTTTGTTTAACATAATAACTTTTTTAAAACTAATGCCACAATTAAAAAGTCATTTCCATCTCTGAAATTACTTTTAATTCTATATTTTCCTCTGATCCTTTTATGGTTTCCTTTTTTTTTTTTTTTTTTTTTTTTTTTTTTAAGTATTTACTTTACCTGGAATTTACTCTGGGATGAGATGACAGATATTGACCTAAATTTATTTATTTAATATGTCTACCAAATTGTTCCAATCCAGTTATTGAATATTCTCTCTTTTCTCCACTGAATTGAAAAATCACTTATTTCATATACAAAATTTCTTTACATAATGGGATCTATTCATTGATTTCCTATTATGTTTTATTGATGTAGTCCCCAGAAGACCTTTAACATCGTGTCTGGGGTGCTTCATACAGGCAGAATAAACAGAATAAAAGTCAGATCACCTTTTAGCCAATATTATTTTACCAAGAGATCATAAAATAATGTTGGAATGGGATAAACGAGGATTGCAGCAGGGTTTTTTGGGTGGAGATGTTTATAAAATCATGGTATAGCCTTCTTCCATGGCTTAGTTTATTTCTCACAGCAATTCAGATTCCTGGTATTAAATTTGAGTATGCCATGATGGTGAAATCATAGCCCTTTCTTATCGAATTCCTTACTATCCAAGCTTAATAGTGCCAGATACATGAGAACTCAGAAGTTCTCAAAACCTAGTTAACTATTAATAACCCCAGAACCTGTATTCCGTAAATCAGTTTTTAGTTTATATATATTTTTTAATAAAAACAGCACTGATATTTAACTACAAAAGCCTGCTAAAAGTAATTAAAACCCCAGCCTGATGTTGCTTTACTATCTAGAGTTCCAGCTTTCTAAAGTATATATTCAGAGCTTGTAAATATTAGAATAAATAGGAATCTTTTTAAACATCATTTCTGATGATTTAGAGAGAAACGTGTACTCAAGTTCTTTTTTTTTTTTTTTTTTGTTATGCTTCTATAATTTAAGTTTTAGAAAATTAGTCTATGGCTCATCAGCCAAAAATCTAACAGAGGTAATTTGGCCATCTACAAGAGATATAAACAAGATAATTGAAACAAGATAAAAGATAATTGAAAAAGGAATGTTCAGCAATATCAAGTGTGGAGTTTGGCTTCCAAAATGGGAGGAAACATGATTCAAACCATCCTCGTTTATGTAGTATATATTAGAAAGTTTCAGATTATGAAGAGTCTCAGATTAAAAAATGAAAAACAATGCCATATATAAGATACTGGACACAGATTACTCTTCCATAGCTATGTGGTAATTTACTTGACATACTAAAATAAAATATTTTTCAGAGGTTATCTATCTCAAATCCCACAGTTAAAATTCTAAAGTCAATCTTTAAAAAACTAATTGAAATAATGTTAAGAATAATAAGTAAAATTTACCTTTGTGGAGGATATTCTCTTGTCTGAGACTCCCACAAAGAATGTGACATAAATGTATTCATGTAAGTAATTTTGGTGTCTGAGTATTGAAATGAGAAAAGTAAAATTGAATATCTGAGTGAATTCACTCAGCATTGTTGGATTAAAAAGGGACCACAGACCCAGAATTTAAAATCAAAGATGTTGTTTATGAAGTCTGCATTGCAAGTGCTTACCCATCAGAGGCTAGAGACTACACCATGCCAGTTCTCTAACTCAACAAAATTTTAGGTTTTCTTTATACTTAGGGTAGACCAAGAATTGCTTTGTGAGCACCAGTTGGGGAGGAACCTCATGACATTTAAAGAAAGAAAATGAGACTGGGAAATTCAGAATGGGAAGGAAAGTAGGCATGCTCATGTTGGCAAACTTTCAAAAGCCTATAAGGGTGTTGCCTATATGCAGAATTCAGGATTGTCCGTAACACATTTAAAATCTATAAATCCAGGGAAATAAAACATTGTAGGCTTTTTCATAAGTCCCTTTTTTTTTTTTTGGAGTGGTAAAACTTTAAGGATTGGTTTCTTAGTTCTAATTTTTAACTTTTTGAATATGTGACATGAAGAAAGGTAGGTAGGGAGAGAAAGGGAGGGCGGTGGGGGGGAGAGAGGAAGAGAGAGAATAGATAAATAGATAGGTAGATAGATAGTAGATAGCTCTAAAACTGGTTATAGAGGGGCTAGTTTCTTCATGCACATCCTCTACCATTTCAAATGTTAACTCTCCGAGACTCATAAGAAATTGAAAAATCCTAATCACTTATGAGAACCCTAAGATTTTCTGGTTTTCTCTGGGAAATGGTCTCTGAGTTAATAATACAATATAAGACATTTAAATTTTTCTGATTTGTAATTGATGGAGAGGGGAGCTTTATAGCAATTTGTTAAGAACATTGAAACAGTTCCTTTCTACTAAGTTTAAAATCTTGTGGACATCATAAAGGCATTTTAAAGTGAATGGAACAATTTTTAATGTTTGCCGTATGTTAATAAAATATTCTTCTTACATTAGAGCATTTAATCATTATGCATTAGGTATCAAAATGAGCTCCCTATTTAAATATGAGGAGAATATTAAAATTTTTATTAAACTACTATTACTCCTGCAGCAAACTATAGTAGAGTGGTTTGAAATGGAGAGAAAATATAAAGAGAAAATGCCAATTATAAAGTCTTTATATATTGGAATGAAGGGAAAAGCCACTATCTGGTGAAAGACCCTCCATAACTCATAGCGGAGACTGCTTTATAAAGATCTGGAAACTGAAGACATTTCTGTTTGTTTTGTTTTTTGTCATAATTATTGCTTTCACTTTTTCTTATTCTAACACTCAAAGATTTTGGGAAGATTTTAATGTTTTAATTTAAATTGAAAATTTTGAAGCCTAAAGCAGTCGAGGCACATTAATAATTATGTTGAGTTTCATTGTAATATCACAGGTTATTTTGACAAGGTGATGATATTCCCCATTTTTCAATTTACTAAGTCACATCTCCGTATCATAACTAACTAATGTTATCTATACTTGTACTTGGAGGCACACTTCCCCTTTCAAAGTTTGTTTACAAATACTGCTTTATCTAAGAAAAGTATAAGAAAGATTTTGAAACTAAATGATATATATTTAATATTCATTAAAAAATATACAAAAAATTACTAGATTTTTGTATTATTTAAAGTCTATACTAATAAATGAAAATATTATATTCCCAAATGGACATTGTCACTATTTTTATCCTGAAAGCAATGAGATTATCGTTATCTTGTCTCCTCAGATAAATTTACAAAGAAAAATGAGAGTTACTGGTGTGATTACCCAAGGAGCGAAGAGGATTGGAAGCCCAGAGTATATCAAATCCTACAAAATTGCCTATAGTAATGATGGAAAGACTTGGGCAATGTACAAAGTTAAAAGCACCAATGAAGACATGGTAAGACTGACAACATAATTAAAAAGTAAAATTTCATTAATGATCACTGGTTATCAAATGACTACTGAATCTTCAGCAGAAACTTTTTGTTATTAAAAATAAATTTATGGTTTAAAAAAATTAGACTAGTGGGGTGAAGGGGGTCAGGAGTTTTCCCAAGTTATGAAGTGGACAGTGGCTACCACTTAAGACTTTCTCAGACTGTAATTGGTGGTCCTATAAACACTTTATCACAAGGTTAGCATAATCCTGTGTATGACAGTCACATTTTATTTTAACAGTAATCACCTTTCAGTTTATTTTATTGCTTCGACAGATTAACACTGTCCTTAATCAAGTAACAATAGATCAAAACTATTATTTTTAAGGAAAAATTATTTTTAAAGAAAATTTGTATTTTTAAAGAAAAGCATCGAGTGATAGAAAAGATGTATGTCTTTGTATACTTAACATTGAAAGAAAATTTTCTTATTTCGCAGAAGAAAATATTTTCAATGAAATGGATATCATATTCAATGTCTTTTGACTTTTTATATGATGTTACCAATTTTTATTAATTTAAAAAAATTAATTAAAAAATATCAGGACTGTAACTAATCCTATTTTAAAGCAAGTCATTATAACAGACCAATAAGTTTTATGAAAGATTTTTAAAATTACCTTCTTAAATGAATTTAAATAAAATTTTCTGATTGCTAGGTTATATAAAAGGTAATATAAAAATGAGATTTAAAGAATTTTTAAAAATATACTTTAGTGGTTAATTTTTAGAGGCAAATATAGTTTTTCACTGGAGATATATGTAAAGAATTATGAGTCTTTTATCCGATGATCTGGGACTGACTGATAAGGAAATAATCCTGAGAAATCAAACTCTAAAGCATCCTAAGTCTGACCATAGCGTTAGAGAGACAAAGTGATCAGGAAGTACAAGTAAAGACTGGTTTCTGAAACAAACAAACAAACACTATATATACCAAGTAGCAAAGTGGTCAGACCCAAAGTAAGCTGAAAGGTTTAAGGTACCAGTTTCTTAAAAAAGAGAGAGAAGTATCCTTCTATCTCTGAAGGACTCTCCTTAAAATTGACAATATCATCATAGTTGAGTATAGATTAAACCACAGGCCTAGAGTGGTTTATCATTTTAATTAATATTTTATTTATAGGTTTTATATTCACTACTGATGGCAAGATTCTTTCTAAATGCTCCAGATCTCCAAATTATTTAATCCAATGTTTGAAAGATTATGTTGGGTAGCATGTAAGACCAATATATGAAAGTAGGTAAAGAAGCTGTTTCAGTTAATAATTTTAAAGTCTGTATTATCTCTATACAGGTGTTCCGTGGAAATGTCGATAACAACACACCCTACGCTAACTCTTTCACACCCCCTATAAAAGCTCAGTATGTGAGACTCTATCCCCAAGTTTGTCGAAGACACTGCACTTTGAGAATGGAACTTCTTGGATGTGAATTGTCAGGTGAGTCTCACATAATCTATTTCGATATTTTCTTTTTTCTTTTTTTTTTTTAACAAAAGCACATTTGTATGTAGTTTGCTACTAACTAGCAATTTTTCAAAACTTATAGATACTCATTTCTGCTACAAAATGTCTAGGTCATGGTTAATTGAGAAACTGTGTGTGTGTGTGTGTGTGTGTGTGTGTGTGTGTGTGTGTGTGCGTGTGTATTGGATAAACAAGTTCTAAAACATGCTATAGAACAGAATTAATGTAGAAAAAGCAATGTATTTCTTTGAGTGGTTAATGAAAGTGAAATGAATTCTCAGTAGAAACTTTTGTCAAATTTAAATGTGTCCTGTTTTCTGTAGTAACTATGATTTATGTTTCGTGATAAAAGTTCCAGTTCAGTAAAAACTGGAATCTGCCTGACTTTATAAATTGCAGTTATATTTAGACTATGTGGCATAGAAGAGTAAACTTTATCTTTGTCCACCTACCATAAGAACTTGTTTTGTTTTTTGTTTGTTTGTTTGTTGTTTTTGTTTTAGATTTTATGAAACATGTAAGTTTATCATTCCTCTCAAGGAGACAATACTTCAATACCAAGATTGCTACCATAAATCCATTCTTGGATCATTCTTATCTAGCATCCTGTTAATTTTACAAACAATGGTTATTCAACTCAAAGATAATCTATTAAAAGACTCAGAGTTAAATAATCCTTGTCTTCCAGGATCATCAGTATTAAAGATAAAGATGAAAATAATGTGTAGATCTCACAGTGGTCTCATTTCAATATAGCTAGATTCTGAACTAAACAGAAAATCTTGTCTAGGCATTTCACCGTGTTATATTTTTGGTAGTTGATCTTATATTTCCAGCATCAACATTTACAAACTGTCTTTGCCACTGTGGCCTGAAATTATTTTGTTCAAACAACTGTGTTTTGAAGGAAACTAAAAATTCTTGTTTATGGGACCTTTTAGCATAATCTTCAAATATGAAAGACTTTTATCGAATTTACAATAATACTATTTAGTTAAAAAAAAAAGGAGGACACATCCCTGCAAAAAACCAAATGAGGGCCTTTTGTTCATTTCAAAAGGTTGTGTTTGGTTAAAGTGTACCTTATATCTGTTTCCCTTTTTAGGTTTGTTTGCAATACTGAGAAAGAGAATGATTTTTAAGCAAATAAAAGTGTTGAAAAACAGCCAAACTTTAAATGAACCCATTACAGTTAAGGAATTAGAGACATTTAGCCAGACAAGTGAATCTATTTTAAGAATCACATTTTATATTATATATGGGTGTCTTTTATGAAGAAACAAACGTACAGTTTTAGTACTATTAATTATCCTAATGAGTATAGGATAATTGAATCACCTTATTTTGGTGATTCAAACTGGCTTATTGACTACCAATAAATCTCAGTACAATTACTGCTATACACTGTTTATATTGCATGTCACTATATCACCACACACCAGTGTCATTCCTAAGTCATTCATCATAAAGCAATCAAGAAGCAGCCACAGTATGTTGAGGCTTGCTGCAAGCCCTGTGGTTTTTAGTAGCTTAACATCATCTTCCCCAATTTTTCAATCCTTTGATTCACGAGGGTCATTCTCTCTTACATGGTGCAGTTACACCTCTAAGGTGTGAATATATTTTACTTTCAAGTTTGACAAGAGGTTACACCTCACACTTTATAGATTTTATAATCTTAAAAAAAAAAAAGAAAAAGATGTACTAATCTCCAGACCCTACCAAATGATTTTGAACTTGCATGCAGAGAATAATATCTCTCAATGGATGCTTTTAAAATCTAGAGCACCTCACTATTGAAATAATCAATTTTGTTCAGGTGCTGTCCACTCCATTAAAAGAGTTAATTTATTTATACATATGAAATCATATAGATGAAAAGGGAAATTTGTGGTATGAGGCAAATTGGAAGAGGTTAGCTATAATACTTGGAAATAAACAGTAATATAATGTACCAAACTATTTCCCACAATCCAATGCAACACTATAAACCCCAAGGCTACCTTATTGTATTCAATAAACTGTTATAAAATCTCTCAGCTTGCCTAGAAGATCAGCAGTTAATCTTTTCTCAGACACTTAAAAAGGAAATTTTCTAAATTCTCTAAAAGAGATATGACTTAAAATGTTTATAATGAAATGGATCAAATTATTAAACACTTCCTCTGGCATAAGTGCTCAATAACAGAGTAGGTATGAAATGAATTCTATGACTAAGCTGAAATGGTCAAAGTAAAAGCATCTCTTCTCTATGCAATATTTAAAATACTATGTTATCACAAATGGAGTAAAACAACTACTTTTCCTTTTCCCTTGTATGTCTTCTACAAGCCAAGTAAAGTTTTACAGAGTCTGGTAGCATGGTAGGTTGGGGAATGGGGGCTTGATGGTAGTAATAGAAAAACGAGTCAGAAATCTATAATGTAAACATATTACTGTAGAACTGCCTAAAGATAAATGGCATGTCATTAAGACTTTAGAACTTCCTACTATCTGTGAGATTTGTCATGAAATTTTTCTCTTCCAGAAATTACATTTAGGATTTTAGAGCTATTTTTATCATGAGACTTTGAATATATGTCTCCTACCCTTGAAACCCACTGAGACTTGTACTGTAAAACAATTGGCTAAACCACCATGTCTGTTTTTGTCATGTTTGTATAGGATAGGCATTTCCTAGTAGGTGGAGGTGAAGGCAGACATGGAAGAGCCTCAAGAAGGAAGAAGTAATCCAGATGTACTAAAATAGAAAGCAATTAATCATAGTTAAGAATTATTTATCGATAAAGAGTTCTGAACCACTTTTCTTAGAGTCTTGACTTAAAATGGCTTGGTTTTCTGTCTGGCTTTTTTCCCTTATCATGAGTATCTCGAGGTCCATCCATGCTGTTACAAATGGCAGTATTTCATCTCTTCTTATAGCTGAGTAATATTCCATTATACATATGTACCACAGCTTCTTTAGCCAATCATCTATCACAGGACACTTTGGTTGCTTCCATGTCCTGGCCACTGTGAATAATGCTGCTAT